TTTATGCAGCAGTCAATGTCTTTTATTCTGCCTTCAGAATTGCACTTGTTTCTCCAAGGAGTGTATAGCCATGCAGAGCCTGAGGTGTGATGTACCTAGAGATCAACACTTACCAGAAAGGGGAAAGCTGTAAGCTGTAAGGACCAGGGATAAAAAGTCAAAGCATTGAAGTCAGACACTGCTGAGTAGTTGGTATCTGGGGGTTTGGATCCTGTTCAGAGTAGCCTTGGGTAACAAAAGAGATAGAAGGTCTTTCCACTTACTGACTGGTATCAGTCCAGCTTGGAAGATGACATCTGTGCAATATTCATTCTATCATTCACTGCTGTGGATCAACCTCCTCTTTCTGGCTTACACAACAAATTTGCCAAATACTTCCCAGGTTAGCAGGTAGGAAGTGGTGATTGTTTTGTTGTCAATCTGTAAGAGTGCTTCAAATTAGAGCTCTTTTTTTTTTCCTCTCCATTTCCCAGAGAGAAAACATGAGTTAATAAAATCTGTCCTTGCAGCTAGCTAAGTGGTGTGAGAGTCATGACCATGCCATAATCTCTGGTGAGCTTTGTTGCAATTTAGTAAAGAATTTAAGTGCTTGTCTCCAAGTTTGTTTGATTTAGTCATACTCTGGAAAAAATGTCTATTGAAAAGAGCTACTGTCTGAATCGGGGCATTGGGGAATAGGCATGAGGTAAATCAGGGAGCAGGTTGCTGTACATGTATGGTTCTGCTTGCAGAACACGGCAGGAAAAAAATTTGCTTCTCTGGAACATATGAGAGCCCAGGCAGACATCAGGAAAATGCTAAATTAGAAATTGTTTTGGAGAAGTGACATACAGCAGCTCTGAAAGGTGGGTGAGTCCAGCAGCAGGTGCGCAGCCTCGCCAGAGTCTCTGCCAGGGAGGTAGGCTGGGGAACAGGCATGAGAACTCGTGTGTTTGCATCCCTGGAGAGGTCTGCTTGCTGAGGTCTCAGTGAACATGCCTGGTAGACACACAGAACATGCACAGGTTTACAGAACACAGCTGTCTGGGCTGTGCATACTCTGTACAGTTTTCTTTCTGTTTTGTTAATACCAGAAACTTTTTGACAGGCTCTGTTTGATGGTCTGTGGGGGGCACCATGTCCTTGGTCAGATGTGTGCCATATGACTGGGTTGGTGTTGGTTACTCCCTAAAGAAGGAAGATGATGTCTGGCTTATTAGTAAAGGTTGGGACAAACACAGCTCTCTTTTCACAAGGCAGAAGCCTGGGGCATTTGTTATCCCCGCACCAATCTGGACTGCTGCTTTTGTGTGTTCTGCTCTTTGGCTGCAATGATCCCTAGAGACGTGCTTAGCAGTGAAATCTCATAAAAACCTGCACAGGGCAGGTGTTAATTTTCAGAGGTTTTGACCCAATCTTGTCGGCATTTGGGCCAGAGGGCAACAAATGTGTTTCCTCAAGCCAGGTTTTTGCTGTTTCTGAAACACGTTGGGCTAGATGAGGAAAAAAATAACTGCTTCTGAAAAGCTGGAGGAAGTATGCAGCCGCTTCGCTTTGTATTTGGAGTAATTTTCTGGCTCAGAATATAAGAGATTATTTTAGTCATACCAGGATGAAAAGAACAAGTCAAAGAATAAGACAGGGGCTTTGGCCAAATCATGTAAGAAATGCTCAGTGACTGCAGAAACCAGTATCAGCTTTGGTTTGTGTAGAAAAATGGTGTTGTGTCTAATTCTGCTGAGCTGGCAGGAGAAATATTAACTCTTTCTTTTGCTTTCTTTCTGCAGAGTGGTCTTAAAATCTCCTGATAGCTTTCACCTGAAAATTAAGCGAGTGCCTACAAATTGTCAGAAATGCCCATCTGTTCACCCTTGGTTGTTTGCCGTTGGTTCACAGTGCCTTACACAACTTTAGAGACTATAGGTTCTGTAGAAACAGTGAAAACTCCAGACTTGGAAATACTTAATCTTATTTCTCTGAATGGCAGAGTGAAGCTCAAGTTAGTGGTGAGGACCTCTCTTTGCTAGCTCAGTGTCAGTAGGATGAGGCATAAGTGTTCTTTGTGGTCATATCTGTTGTATTGCTCTGAGAAACCTACCTTCTGTGCACATTGTGGCCAAGAGTTGCTGCCTGAGTAGCATCAGCTTGAAGTGAATTACACCGTAATGTTTGATCTGCTTGTGTATGGTTCAGTTAAGCCATATTTCCACAGAGCTGAATATTAAGGATCTTCAAATAAGACTTCCAGATTCAAAAAGGAGCCAGTGGATGACAGGATGAAGAGTGGGATATGCTCATGTGAATTCAGCTGTGGCATATGCAGAAGACTAATTTCAACTCTTAAGTTTCTGAATTATTTTTGGTTTGGGTCAGCATTAAGGCTATCTAAATGTTACTGTTTCTGTTGAGCATCATGTCATAGCTATTATAGTATGTGATTTTCAGCCTTGTTCATACTTGATGTGCTACTTTTTGCTAATCATGTGCATCAACAGTTCTTCTACACGTTAACATATTTTGAGGCTGTGTAGGAGTTATGTGCCAGAGGGAGTAAATCTAGCTATGTATATAAGGTGAATTACAAATGCAGATTATGCGTGTGAGAATCAGGGACATTCCATACCAAAATACTTCACTTGAGTTAAGTGACCTATTTGAAGAGCTCCATTAGCTTGGTAATACCAGGGGTTTATCCGTTGTATACATCAGCTCATGGAGGGCTGAAATAAGACATACTTATCCATTTGATATATGTAATTTCTTTCAAAAAAAAAAAAAAATCCATCCCAGCTGTCTGAAACTGGGTTCAGTTGGTTTTTTGTTTTTTGGGTTTTTTTTGGGGTTTTTTTTGCCTTTTTTTTTGTTTGTTTTGTTTTTTGATTTTTGCGTTTTTTAAAGTCAGGTTTCAGACCCTTTTCTTTGCAGGCTTGTATCAAAAACAGAACTGTTACATCTGGTGTCAAACTTACTGGGCACCTTTTCTATGAATTGAAAGAGGAACAGTGTTAGTGGACAGCAGTCGCAGATAGTGATTTTCAAGCACAAAAGTTGCTTAACATTAATTTTCTGTTTTGCACTTAGAAACGGATCACGTTTTATGTTTAGGTGTGTGACTGGGAAAGCATTCAGGTGTCTGTGAAGCTTAGGGGCTTTGGATAGCTATTCTGGCAAATTTTCTCACATTGGCCCATGTGGTGAAATATTAAAGTCCCCATTAAAGTCATTGACCAAAAGGTCTCATTGATTGTCAGGAATTAGACTGAACTTTGAATTTCAATGCCATAGTCTTGTGGCTTTTGCAAACTAAGTAAAGTTCAGGTTCATTACCACCTGAGGAGCTAGAATGTACCTAAGTCTGTTAGAACCAGTGAGATGTATCCCACAGTCCTGAGGGAATTGGCTGATGTAGTTGTCAAGCCACTATTTGTAAAGTCACTGTAGTCATGAATTCACCATTGTATTGGTGAAGTCCCAGGTAACTGGAAGAAGAGGAACATGGTACCCATCTTTTAAAAGGGTGGAAAGGAGAACCCTGGCAAACAGGAACCTCCCAGCCTCACTGCCTGCATGGGAATATCATGGAGCAGATCCTCCTAGAAGCTGTGCTCTGGCACATGGAGAACAGGGATTCAAGACAGCCAGCACTGCTTCATCAAGGACAAATCCTGTCTGACCAGCCCAGTGGCCTTGAATGATGGAGTGTCCATGTTAGTGGACAAGGGAATGACTACACATGTCAGAGTTCCTAACAACATGCCTGTCTCTTACTTGCAGAGAGATGGATTTTATGCATGGACTGTTAGATAAGAAAGTAGTTGGATGGTCACATCCAGAAGGTAATGGTCAATGGCACAATGTCATTGACCAGGGATCAGTACTATTTAATTCCTTCATTAATGACATGGATGAAGGGATCAGATGCACTCTCGGGATATCTGCAGGTGAAACCCAGCTGAAGGATGAGATGGTGTCCATAGTAACCTGGCTAAAATAGAAAAGTAGGTGCATGGGAATCTCAAAAGGTTTAACAAGACCAAGTTCAGGGTGCTGCACCTGGGTCAGACCAATCCTTGGTATCAGCACAGGCTGGGGATGAGCAGATGGAGAGCAGCCCTGTGAGAAGGACTTGGGGTTCTGGTGGGTGAGAGGCTGGACATGACCCAGCCATGGGCACTCCCAGCCCAGAAAGCCAAAGGTGTCCTGGGCTGCATCCAAAGCAGCGTGGGCAGCAGGGCAGGGAGGGGATTCTGCCCCTCTGCTCTGCTCTGGAGAGAGCCCACCTGGAACCCTGCATCAGCTCTGGGGTCCCAGCATAGGAAGGACGTGGAACTGCTGGAGTGAGTCCAGAACAGGGACACCAAGGTGATTAGGTGGATGGACCACATTTCCTATGGAGACAGGTTGAAAGAACGGAGTTTTTTCAGCCTGGAAAAGAGAAGGTGTAAAAGTAATCTAAGTATGGCCTTCCAGACCCTGAAGGCAGCCTACAGGTAGTTTTTACAAATGCATATAAGGAAAGGGCAAGGGGCCATGGCTTCAAACTGAAAGAGAATAGCTTTAGAGTCTATGTTAGGAAGAAATTCTTTACTGTCAGGGTGGTGAGCACTGGAACAGGTTGCCCACAGAAGCTGTACATGCCCATCACTGGAAGTGTTCTGGGGCTCTGAGTAACCTGGCCTAGTGAAAGGTGTTTCTACCCATGGCAGCAGTGTTGGACCTAGATGGTCTTTAAGGTCCCTTCCATGGGTATTTCATGATTCTATGTTCTTAAAGAGACACAAATCACAAACCCCAAAGTATTGCTTGAGAAAAATGACTGTAATCTCAAAACACACATTAAGTATATTTTTCTTAGGTGGAATTTCTGCTGAAGATTTTCACATTACCATTAGCAGATACAGGACTTTCTTGATCAGAGACTGCTTGCTTGCTGATACTAGCTGAGTATCTTTCCTCAGCATATTAATGTATGTGTAGGAGGGGTCTAACAATAATTCCATCTCATTTCTCTCCCTTTGTAGGCCCTCTACAATTCAATCAAGAATGAGAAGTTGGAATGGGCAGTGTAAGTATACTTCTGTTGTAGAAATTAGAAGTTTAACAGTAGTACCTGTGTAGTAATCTGTTTATACGTCCTGTCACCGTCTGTGTATGTGGGCTCCAAAACCTGTAGAAGATAGCCAACGTACATAATGAGTTTGCTTTCTTGCTAATGAATGACCTGGCAATACAGCATCATCTGTTTCTCCAGCAAGGGGAGTTGTTAATAATAGGAGCCAACTGCATTTGTAAGGAAAGAGGACATTTCATTTAGTAGGAAACTTCAGCCTGAAAAGAGAGAAATTAAATCCTCTGTTGTTCTATGGCTGCATAAATAAAACAGAAGTTGACGTCTCCCTTTATCTTTCTGTTCATTGTGTCAGAACTGTTGAATAGAACCACACTTCTTGGATTGAGTTTCCTGCTGTTGGTTTATTGTCTTGGTTTATCTCCTGATTAACTATGGATAACTTGACAACAACCTAATGTGAAAGATGATAAACGGACAAAGTCTGATATCACTCCCTCCAATCCTTAGTTGCTTTTGACAGGATAACACTTGTTAACTATGTAAATGCTGCAGACAAGAAAAAGCTTCAATTTCTGATTGTGTTAAACTGATATTTCTCTGTGCTTAGGTTTCATGTGGTCTAGTTATGCCAGGAAAGTGCAGAAGTGTCTACTCTTGATTTTGCCACTTGCAGAACAGTGGATTTTGGTATAAAATAGGAAAACGATGTCTTATATATGTTTCAGCTATACAAGGGTATTTCCCTACACATATTTACATATCTGAAACCTTACCTTCTTGGGAACAGTGTATGTCTCAAATGCATGTTCCTGCACCTCTTGTTCTAGAGTTTTTATCAACTGCCATAGGTCTTGCAGGCCCAGTGGCTTCTGATCTTCATTGTTTTTAGTTCAGGCTTTGCAAACAAATTTCTTGTTAGGGTGTGCAGTCTCACAAGGGCAGCTGGTTCCAAGTGGGATTGCTGCCCCAGTTTAGAAATGTGTTAGGTGGTGTCAGAGTAGTAAAGAAGGTGTGCTTTTAATGAGAATCAGCAAGAAGTGCCATCTCTGATGAGCATTAAAAGTCATGGTGGGAGACATTTTCACAGACTGTGTCTTGGACCTGGAACATGCTGTGTGAATCTTACATGTCACACCGAAGCTGCTTGCCAGACACTGTCACAGGTACTTTAGAACCAGCAGAATCCATTATGTGACTTTCTCAATGTCAGAATTTTCCTCCAGCTCTTGCCAAGAAACTATACCGTGTCTAATACACTTGGGCAGCCTCCAGGTGGGAACTGGCTCATGACTGGCTCTGCTCCCATGAACCTCAGTCAAGGTTCATGGGATTTATGAGATCTTGCCTCCTGTATAGGTGGTAACTGCTTTGACATTTACATAGTCTAGTCCATGTCCTTTGGGGGAAAATTCCAAGCAGGCTGAAGAGGGATAATTCAGACTCTTTCTTAAATAAGGCTTTGAGTGGGTATAAAGCTACTTTCTTACAGGAAAATGCTCAGAGTACCAGTTGTCTGCTCCAATCTGAGATTGACACATAGCTAGGACTAATGTTACAATTAATTTCCATGATGAGAAACAAAGCTCATTTTGGGCATTGTCAGTACCTTTAGAGCTGAGAGTACTGGCTGGAAGAGGAAGTGTGAAGATGTTTCTCTTCATTTTTATAGAGATGTGTGGTTGGCATAAAATAATAACCCCAAGAAGCCCTGGGACTGCCTGAGCTTGAGGGAGGAGACACATATATCTTTTGCTCTACTGTTGTGATCTGCAAAGAAAGCTGAATAGGAAGGAAGCATGGTCAGTTTTGTTCTGGTGGGACCAAAGAAAATCCCATCTCCCTTCCAAAGCTGATTCCTTTGCTTCCATGATGCACTTGGCAGGGTAAGAAGAAGGAGGTGAGGCAAAGGTGAAGATAGGACTGCAAACCCCAGTATAAGCTCTCCTGCAATGCTGGCATTTCGAAGGAATGCCTTTCCTCCAGCCAGAAATCCTTTGAGGATCCTTTGCTCATCAGCTAAGCAAAGGTTTAAGAGCTACTCTGGAAGTACATTATTTAGTGGATTAATGGCTATCAGTAAGTCCATAGGCAGGAAAGGGTAATGGTGAAACATAAGATGGGGAAGGACTGCTATCCAATCCTTATCTTACTAGCTGTGAGCTAGGTGTGTTATCATCTTATGCAGTTTGCAGTACATTTCCAGTAGAATTACAGTCTGATCCAAAGCCCACGCAAAGAAAAGGCTACTATTGACTTCAATTTTGTAATCACAAGAAGTGACACCTTAATCAGCAGATGTTCTCCAAAGACTTTCAGTAGGAGTGTTCATTTATCCTTTTTGAACAGGAAAGCATGAGTACAGCTATGAAGAGAGAATTGCACTACAGTTCTTCTGCAGTCATGCCTGGTTCGAGTTCTCCACAAAGTTAAAAGTGAATCACATACCATAATCTGTAAAGTAAAGAGATCTGACCTGAAATTTACACTGGTCTGGTGAATGTGGGATCCTGAAAACACACTTCTGCTCCACACTGCAAACCCCAAAGGTGTGAACTGTTCTTCATGTCTGTTGTGGATGGGCTTAAATTTGAAACAAGGGAAATTTGAAATCAACCTTTAAAAAGGTTGGCTATGAATTTAAACCAAGGCACAGGTTTGCCTGGATAAAGTACAGAAGTCCTTTCATTGGAGGTTTTTTTGAGCTGGTTGATCTGTCTGGAATGGGTTAAGAAGAGGAGATCCAGCCATAGAGGGAAAGACATTGCCTGGCGTCCTAACATCCCTTCATTGTCTGTAATACTATATCCCAAGGTTTTCAGGTGTTTTTCATTCTTTGGCTTTCACACTGATCATTGTCAGCTTTAAGCTGAAAAATAAAAATCCGTTTGATTACAGAAGTGCCAGAGCTAAGTTATGTTTTATTTGCATGATGTCTACATGGAAATGTCATGGTGGCTATTTTTGTTTTCCTTTGTTTGTAATACTGTGTCTGATTAGTGTTGAAAGTAATAGGAATAAAAACATCATCATCTTAAAATAGGTGATCTAGAATTAATATATGTACTCCCAAAGCACTGCTTGCAAAATTGCTAAAGCCAAATGGCTGCCTTTGAGCCAGTTGTGTCCCAAAAGCCTCCTCTCAGCAGAACAGTGTAGTTTTCAGGAGAATCACTTGGTTTTTAACTCGCCGAATACATACTTCTCTAACCAGAGAAGTTTACAGGGACAAGGTATATTCTTTTTTTGTTTATATAGACTACACTTAAAAATTATCTCCTTTCAACCAAAACAAAACAGGTCATTCAGATGGTGATTGTGGGAAAGAGATGCTGACAAATCAAACTGTGATGCTGAGATTAGGGTAGTTAAAAAGACATCTCTGCTGAAGCTCACCTTTTTCTAGGTCAAACTGAGAAATCTCTCCCTGTTACAATTAACTTTTGTCTTCCAAGTTCTAGGATGTTTCCTGCTTGCAACTTCTTGATTGGTTTTAGGGTGGGGTCAGGTGGTATTCAACCTGGTTCTCTTTCTTCCCTCCTCCCCCTGGGAAAGATACCAAAACTTCTCTCAAGTCAGTTTCCTGATACAGATGCTGTTAGTTTCATGGATGCATGTTACAAACATGAATTTTTCTCAATTGCAATATATAAAGGAACTCAACCTTCTGCTGTGTCATATAAGGTTGCTATTTGAACAAATGCAGAGATGAAGCAGAGTTTTAAAAATTAAGAGCTTGACCACATCGTTCCAGATCAGTCATTTCAGAATTTTCTGAGGCAGAGCCTCAAATCAGACCATAGATTGTACAGAAATAATTTTCTTACTGAGAGAATCAGTTGGTGCTTTTCTCCCAGAAGACAGAAATGGGGCATCCTTGTATAGACTCTTCTTGGGAGAGGCAGAAGATGCTTTTCTTCACCAAAATGGCAACATCTGAATTTTCTTTTTTTTCACATCTATGTGTTTGAGAATAAGGGGCAAACTCTTTGTAGTTGTCAGCTATCACGTATTTGGGAAGGAAAACATTGTTGTTTCAATGCTGTGACTGCAGATGATAGCACAAGCAGGTCCTGGGTTTGGTGTGCTGGTTCTCATGGGCAGCCAGAGGGCTGCTCTCTCTTTAGGTCCTTTTCCAATGAGATAAGCTTACAGAAGTGGAACTGAAGCTTCTTGTTTTGGGAAGCCTTGCAAACATCATGTGCCATAAACGGAATCTTAGAGAAACTCTACAGATGGTAAACCTTTTCCTGTCACCAATACCCTGCAGAGAAGAGACACTGTGGGTCCCATTTCCTATGAATGGAAAGTGGGACTTAAAAGAAGTTTTGCAGCTATCAACCCTTTTCAGTCATCAGGGAGGAGTCACCAGAGCAATTGCTTCCAGACCCAGAGCAGGGAATGATTTTCCTCTGCTGATCAGGGGCAGAAAATCTCATAAGACTTCTGCAAGCCTAATTTGGACCTTCATGATGATGGTTTGCATACTGAATGGTGTGTTGGAACCATTGTGAGTTTTTCCCTCCCTAAAGGCACAAGGATTGTGTTATTTCCTGTATGAAATGTAAAAGAGAGGCAGTGGTCCTGCCCTTCAAAAGGACCTGAGCTAATGCCTGTGTGACACTGCATCCACAATTCTGAACATACTTGTGCAGAGATCACCACTGACTCTTACCCACTTCACACTGGGGATGTTACAGCACGTGGGTGATCTGTGAGAGCCATCTGAGGATGGGCAGGTAGCCACACTCCCCACACTTTAGGGTTTCAAACAAAGATCAATTTTCAGATTATGTATCCAGAGGACCCCCGCTCTGAATTTTCTGCAGTTCTTTCTTGCAAAAGTACCCTAAAGGCTTGTTAGAAGTAAGCTCAGATGGTTAAATCCCTGATAAACAGTATTTGGGATCTATCTATTCAGCCAGCTTTGGAAGATACCCGAGGAAAAGCTAATACTTGAACTTTTTTTTGCTACTTTGGCATTCCTCCAAATCATCTTGCTTTCTTCTTATGTTTGACCACTGAAGTAACATGAAGTTGAGTATTTGAGCAAATGAGTCCCAGATCCCCTGGTTTTCATCCACTTCCTGTGTGTAATGGGTCCTTCTTGCCTCTCTGTCTCCCTTCATTGCCTCTTGAAGACTTGTGCATCTTGCCCTCATGCATCTTGTCAGAGCACTCAGCTCTCAGAAATGAAGCTTCTGGGTCTCAAAAAAGTCCCATTTTCATGATAGAACAAAAGACCAGTTAAAGGTTTGTTCAGTGCTCCCAGCAGTTGTGACAGCAGATATTTTGTCCTTTCCACCATGTCTTTTGAGGAATTCCTATTTTAACAGCTACGCTAGAAGTGCTGAGTTTAAGAGCACGGCTCCCAGCTCTTAGTGGTGTCCAAGATCCCTCAGAGGATTGCTTATCACACCACTGTGGCTGCTAGGTTAAGGGCACTTGGATATTCCCACAGGACAATTGATCAGTATACAGTAATTCATTCCTATAGCTCCAAAGGACATAGTTTATTCCAAGAAAGTGTTAAGCCTTTTACTGCAATTCATCTCTGCTGACAAGGAGAAATCTGCTGTGTCCTTGGCTGAAATCCCAGAATTCACAAGGCATTTCTGTGTGACAAATCAGCCTGTGTGCTTATGCCCTTTGAGAGATTTTAGTCTGGATTAAGTGCCTCAGAGTCATGTTGAGAGAATTTGCTTCTGGAATGGGCATATATCTAAAAAACATATAACACACAGTGGTTCAGACTTACCAGCAGCCAGTGAGTAGACTCATGTAGGGTGGGGACAAACAAAATTGTCAGAAACACCTACACCTTTTCAACTGGGAGAGGGCTTCAACTAAAGCATACTTGAAGAAGTCCTTACTGCTTTGGCTAATAAATTTTTGTAGAATTTTCTGTGCTGGAGTGGGAAAGCACACATCAGTAGGCTAAAAATGCAAGGACTGCTTTTCCTTGAAGGAATCAGATCTTCAAGTAAAAGTTTCATTCCTCTTAATTAGGAGACCTTGCAAGACAACATCATGAAGATATGGTGCACCTCCTGACTGTATTTCTATAATTTTATATGAGGTGATCAAAGTTAAATGCTTGAGAACATTCCTTGCTACTACAGAGTTCACTAATTCAGCCCCCATGTTTCTGGATTTGTTTTCCTTATTGTCAAATCAGTCTGTTAGCCTTTTACCTCCTTTAAGTTATTTCCCCAAAGACCATTTCATAGAATCATAGAATAATTTTGTTTGGAATCATCTAGTTTGGGAAAGACTTCCAAGATCATCAGGTAGAATCTTTAACTGAACATCACCCTTTCACCACGTGCCACATCCATTTGTTTCTTGAACACTTGAAGGGATGGTGACTCCACCATCTCCTTGGGAAGTTTGTTCCAGTGCTTAACCACCCTTCAGTGATGAAATTTCTCCTGATGTCCAGCCTGAGCCTCCCTGGGCACAGCTTGAGGCCATGTCCTCTCATCATTCACTGGTTGCCTGGGAAAAAAGGCCAACCCCCACCTGGCTACAACCTCCTTTCAGGTAGTTGTAGAGGGTGATAATAAGCTTCCACAGCAGCAGAGCTGAGGATAAGATAGATTTGTTTCTGTAGCCTGCAGTCTTGGAGGACATTTTTTTGAATGGTCATTCCCATAAGCAGCCATGGTAGCACTTTATTCCTAAAGGAGCTTCTGGATTGATGTGTGCCTTGCTAATCATCACATAGTACGTGCCTTTGAACATAGAAATGTGTTTGGTAGATCTGCTCGAGCTTGCTCTCTCTGCCAGTCTCTTGATGCCAGTGAGATGCCTCAAGCTGAGGCCCACCCACAGTGGGTTGGCAATATTAGCCATCATTATGCTCAAATGATTTTTCGAAAATTTAAATCAGGTGCTGGTCTCAGGAGGCGTTGCTACCGCGACTTTCCAATGACAGCCTTCATACTCCCTATCACACCAGGCTCCTGGAGGGGAATGTATGCAGATTTCAAAGGATAAAGAGCTACTCTGTAACCTGGACTGTTCTCTGAAAACTGTTGTCCTACTCTTGTGATGGACACTCTATACTTTCTAGGTTGCCTAGTCCTTTTTAGCCTTTGCCTGTGACAAGCAAAAAGGTATTTATTAGTCAGGCAATTCTTGTGACTCGCATTGTTGTCCCCAGGAGCTCTGTGGAATACATTGCCCTAATAAGTAACATTTTCAGCAGCATTTTGTTTCCAAAGTAAAGATGACATAATGCACCTAGTGTCGTTTTTATTTTTAAATTACTAATTTTATGCTAGTCTGCAGAGGAAAATAAAGAAAAAGAGGTAGAGTCTGTGTTTCATATGCTAAGTTAAGGGGTAAGCCTCAGTGATCTGTAGTATTCTAATTCTTTTCATTTACATATAAGCTCATGAAAAAATTGGGGGTTTTCTGCTGAACCCAGCAGGTAAATATTTCCCATTTTAGCACTCAAATACATGGAATTAAAAATAGGCAAAGTTGGAGGACACAGAATACTCTTGAAGTCTTATCTTTCGAGACAATAATGAAACGTACTTTTTGAAAAATCTGTGTCCTGTGCTGGTAAAGTAGGTGAACTGAAGCTGTGCTATAATAAGTCTATATTTTGATATATTTCTAGATTTCTCCCTAAATATGGCCCCCTATAAAGAGAGAGGTATATTTTGACGAAAATTGCTGAAATGAAACTTTGCTGGTCAGTCTGTCCTTCATGCATGATTTTCACTGCTTTTAAAGGGATGAAGAAGAGAAAAAAAAATCACATTCGGATGGTACAGATGAAAAGGATAATGGCAACCAGACAAAGGCTGTCAGTCGAATTGGCAATTCAAATAACCCATTCCTGGACATCCCTCATGACCCCAGTGCTGCCGTGTATAAAACTGGATTTCTGGCTCGGAAAATCCATGCAGATATGGATGGAAAGAAAAGTGAGTAATTTTTCAATTCTAATGTGTTATTTTCTTGTTACTCTTCACAATGCCACTTACCAATGAACCCATGTACTTCTCAAGGCGAGTAGTGGTGCTTCATTAGGGGAAATAGCAGCAATAACAGGTAACACAACTGCATTATCACACTCTCACTGTTAGGCTAGAATTTGCAATGTTCAGTCCCATTTGCAGAAGCTCTAATGCATAAGTATAAGAAGTAATGTGATACAGCAAAGCAATATGAATTTTTGGGCTAAAAAAAACTTAGTATAGTGGTTTACAGATAGAAAATAATTTCAAGTGAATTACAGTAGCTGTTCTGCAGTAATATAATTCTCATTTTCCTTATGCGGCACCATATTGTTCCAGATCTCCCCTCCTTTCTGGGTCTGTCTTTAAAGAAATGCTGTTCTTTACCTCTGTTTAGAAGATACTGTTCCCTTCCATACTTTCCCAGCCATGGATCACATATCCAGTGAAGGGTAGCAGCTTTTGGCAGCAGACAGCTTTTTAGTATGCAGTTCCTCCCCGCCCCTTTCTTGTAATAATCCTGCTGTGTCCCTTACTTACTTTAATTATCTTCTTCCCTTTTTGTCCTACTTCTGTTTGTGATGCACTAATCATCAAGGGCCTCTGATGCACCTGTGTGTGTTTTGTTGTTTGTATATCTTAATTTGTTGTCTATAGATCTTGGAAAAAGCTGAGGTTAGTCAGAGCATCTGTGTTTTCCCCAGTAACTGTTGATGATTGCCTACTCATGATTCACATTGGTAGGCTAAATCCCAAAGACAAAGTCTGGCTTCATGATGGGTTTCCAGCAACAGCCAATCTCCCTCAGGCTAAGCTCTTTGATGTTCACATGTTTTGCTAGTCTGTTTTAGAAGGTACAGTTGGAGGTCAGTATTTTCAAGATGGAAGCAAACAGCTGGACAACTGGATTCAGACAGAGGTGTCAAAATCAAGCTGACCTAATTCTTTGTGATGGTTGGATACTCTAAATAGACTGGTCTTTATTAAACATTTTCTTATTCAACCTTAATGAGTAATTGTATCTGGTAGCATTTATTAAATTATTTCTTTAATTATAAATATCAGAATTGCTCATTATTTAGCATACTGGTCACTGGCATTCTGGAGATAACTCTTTTGTGAGTAATGCAATTAGGGCCATGTTTTAAGAAGTTCCTGTACAATTTAAAGGTCTGTCTTCCTCAAAAAAGTTGCATTCTGGCTTTCCAGGTGCTGATAAAACTTTTTTTGTTTGTTTGTTTGTTTGTTAGACTTTTTAATGTTTCATTTTCTGTTGGAGTCCTTGCAGGGCAGAGATTAACTTGTGTGGGATTTCTCATTATGTGATGTGCTAGAATGGTCATTTGTATTTTTCAGGAACCTAGTTCTAAGGGCTGAAGCACTCTAGGCACTTAGAGGAGAAGGGTGTAAGAGGGGCTAGTGACTGGAAGCTGAACTGAACAAATGCCAGTTAGAAATAAGGCCCATTTTGCAAGATGAGAATTATTGACCTCTGGGACAAGGGACTTGTAACCTCTTCATCTTCACTTTCTGTCTTCAGATCAGAATGGGGTGCCTTTCTGAGTGTCATTCTTTAGTTGTGTGTGTATTAATTTCGGTATAGTGTCAGTAATACACTATATGGATGTTTGGTGGGGAGTGAGCGTAGATGTAGGCCTCTGGTCTCTGGTGACTGTACAGCTTGCACATAATTCTCTCGCTGTGTCACACCTGAATTCCAGACTGGATCCTTCAGCCTTCAGGCTGAATTTACTTCTCCCCCCCAGCTCCTTCAGCCTTCAGGCTGCATTTACTTCTCCCCCCCAGCTCCTTCAGCCTTCAGGCTGAATTTACTTCCCCCCCCAGCCACTGCTTGTCTCTAGGAATTTATGGGCTAGATATGTTGTCTCTGTTATGTTCTTCAACCTCTGACTGACTTCGGCTTTCTTGTAGGGTTGAGTGTTTTTTGGTTTGGCACCCTTCTCCTTTCTTAATGCCACCTTGGGACTGCAGCAGCAGTAAAGGGGGATGATGCTCTGGGGAGACACTGCTTTCTGTGTAGTATCCCACTGGTTCTGAGCAGCTCCTGCCAGCCTGCTGTGGCATGTAGAAAGACTGCTTCTTTCTGAAAACTGTTGTGGTGCAGAGCTCAGGCGTAGTTGTGTAGGGGCAATGTCTGCCTCTCTTCAAGAGCACAAAGACTGGGTCTCTGTCTCTCTGTGGCCTGCTTTCTGCATTGCTGCTGTTCCTTTCTGATCCAGTCCAGGGCTGTCATCAGGGTTGTTGTATTACTCTGTCTCACAGCAGGTACATGTAGGCACTGTGACATGCAGGCAGTGTGCTAAGTTGCGTTGTCCTTTGAAAAAGATAGTTCAAAGGAGGTTTAACACAGGACTAATGTGTCCTACAGCTCTCCCGTAGCATAGACAAAGTATAAAAATGGATCTGATTTAAATGGGTTTTCATTTGTTTTCTTTCCAGCTCCCCGGGGAAAACGAGGCTGGAAAACCTTTTACGCTGTGCTGAAGGGGACAGTCCTGTACTTGCAGAAGGTAGGGGAAATCACTGTCTTTTGAAAAGTAATTAAAGAGGGATAAAGCAGCACGAATCCTCTCCACTCTTTCAGCGCACCTCCGGGCTCCTTTCCCTCGGATGCACAGCATGACTGATCTCCCTACCCCCACCCTATTAACACACACATTCAGGCATGAATCCTCTCATTGACACCCTGTCCCTTTTCACAATTTCAAGTTCGGTTCCTCTGCCCACATCCACATGTGCCCCCTGTAAGTTCCAGCATATGCCACTGCTGTCTCACGCAGCAGAAAAAGCCAGCCAGCTTCACCAGCAAAGACAGTGTCACCTCTCTGCATTGTGCACGCATTCCTCTAGGCTGCTTCTAATTTTGCATTTCATATATATGACTTCCCCTTCTGTAAGGTTGTCCTCCTTTCCCACCTTTTCATATTACACTTTTCTGCAGTGCCTGCAAGACCAGCTGCAAAACAATTGAACAACAGCTTGGCTTTGGTAGGAATCTGCGGCTTCTGTTCCTTTGCAAAATTGAAGGATAAAAGGATACTTTTTTTTCCACAAAGCAAGAAAGGACTGGTTTCTAACAAAATGTGCTTCCTGACAGCAAGATGTCTAAAAAAAAAGTCAGATGAAATCCTTCAAGCCTTTTGTTGCAAGCTTAAATATATTATAGTACATTTTTAACTACACTGTTAGAACATAAAATGCAACATATGAGTGAGAACTGTCAAAATCAAATAAATGGCAGCAGCTAAGTAGGTTGTTAAGGCTTTTTGCTCTCCAGTATAGATGAAATATTCATGGAATAGGTGCTGCTTGTCCAGACTGCCCTATATTGCAGAAGTATACTTCTTTGAAAGCTGTTTTACATTTTCACTCAAAAACGGATAGTTTTGTAACTATCAGGAGTGCAGGTACATACTGCTATTTCCTCCTCCCCTGCTGTGGCTGTCTGAAGTTGTTGGTTTCACTGGAGCCAACCTCAATAGTCTCTTGAGAAGAAAGAGTGATTTGAATCAGGTTATTATAGCATGAGTTTTACAAGAGGAATGTTCGGGGTGCAGTACCTTTTTGAGGGCGCTGAAATCTTGAAACAGATAAAACAATCTGCAGTCAGTATAGAAGATTCAGGCTGAAATGTGGATGTGATATGCTCAGAGCCAGTGCAAGACACTAAAACCAAGTCTGCTGAATCCCAAGTCCTTTTGCTGGGAACACGTTCAGGTGTTACTAAAATGCCTTAATGGCAGGCTTGTACTTGCCCTTTTCTGACCAACGTGGATTCATCTGCTTCAGTTTCTGAAAAAAGTAATCTTTAATGTTCACCTGAAAAAAACTGTATGATTCTCTGAGAAAGAAGAAGACTCCTTTTTTATAATAAAATAATTAATTTCTGATTTGATATTCCAGGGAAAGAACTGAGTATACTCTCTATTTTTGCACCTTAATTAAATATTTTTGTGAATATTGCTGGCATATTAGTTGAAAATGCTTTCTGTTTAATAAAATGTAGAGATGCTGATGTAAGATGCAAATTTTGTACAGAATGCTGCCCTCCCCCCCTCTTACCCTCCATGCTTTCAGAAGCAGGGAGTAATTTCACATATGACTGCATCTTTGCAGAACAAAATGCATTGTTGGAATTCGTGTTCTTATTTGTTTGTTAGTTGCGTATTTTGCACTTGTCAGAGCACTTAAATTCAGTGGTTACAGGGCAGTGCAGAGCTGCATTTTCCCATTTGCATGGGAGCCATCCATTGCATTGAATTCATTTACAGAATGTAAATGTAGCACACTGCCAAGCAAGGCTTTTGCTTTTGTGCTGTGAGAGGCTGACAGAAGGGTGTGATGGAGGTAACTCATTGCAAGAGTGACAGAGCAGCTGTGAGCCTCCCCAGGGTGCCTCTGGCCCCTGCTCAGCCACACACTGCAGCTGTGAAAACGCCTGTGATTTCAGCTTCAGAGGGTCCACCAGGGCTTTCCTTCAGCACTCAAACTTTACTCTGCTGGGGATGTAGTATCATAGAAGGTGAAGGTGGCAGCGTTAAAAAATAAACAGCTAGGCCAAGTAGTTATAGTAAAGGTTGCTGAGCAGCTGTTTCCTTCTGTAGGGACTGAATTATCCTAATTTTAGGAAATAGTGAAGCATTTTAGAACAATTTGATTTCTTTGCAGAAGTGCATGGTTCTGGAAATAGTCCTGGTCAAAGGGTTGCCTTGTCTCAGTTCACCTTCTCTCGTGATTATAGAGGAGGTGAGGCTGACATAGTGCAGTAGGTCAGGGTGCATTCACAAGCACGTCCTTTTTCTCTCATTCCCTCTATACCTGTGGAGATATCTGTGATGGTGGTTTCATTGCACTATTCAAGCAGGATCGAGAGAAATCTCACTGTACAGGTGCTGTGTACACACAAACACACATACAGACCTCTGCAGTATTGCTTTCTGTGCTCATTTGTAACTTAGCTGTTCCCTCAATACACTATTGTAATATAAATATTAAGTGTTCATAGCAGCTGTGAATCCCCCAGTGGGCAGTGTGATCCCAATTCTGCTGTCTCTCTGTTTGCATTGCTGTTCTCCTTGTTTTGCTGTCAAAGGCCATGTATGAGAGTGTTTTGTAAATGGTGGTCACTTGACATTTACTGAGGATTTTTCTGGACAGCCTTGTCTCTCTGCCCACCTTTTTTTTTCCCATTGGACTTACTCCAGTTCCTCTGGTGTGTATCGTTTTGTTCTTAAATAAGTGATTTAGGAGAGATGGTTTCTGAATTAGTGAGCACAGAGGGCACTGGAGGAGCTCAGTGGAAATGTTCACAATTAGCCAACTAAACATGCCTGTGCAGTATTAAATAAAATAAGAAGTTTGACATGATAGGGACATTGGCTGTCTCTCTGGGCATCCTCAGGCCAAGGTTAATTTCCTGCCCTCTGTTCATAGCAAGAGGAAATTGCAAAGTAGCAGCTTGACAGAATGTCTGTTCACTAGACTGACATGGGATGTGATGTGCATACACAAGAGAAGCTTAGAAGGAGGGGACATAAAAGGCTGACCTCGCTTCCCTTCTAGAAATTGCTTCTGGGCAAACAGTATATGACACAAATCTCCATGTTTTGTTTGGACTCTTCTGTGAGGTTTGCAACATCGTTGTTCTTTGGTGTGGCACCTCAAAATCTTTCAGGCTTTGAGTATTTTTATAAAAAATTTGTCAAATTTTCTGTGTTAAAAAAAAAAAAAAAAAGATGGAAAAAGGCCAGACGGATGTAAAGTGTTTGGTAGTGAGACTTTCTGAAAGAGAATCTTGTAGCTGTCACATGCAGCTGCATGGAGATATCCATGTATGGTACAGTGACTGATAAGAAAAGACAAATGTCATTCTCTGGTTTACCAAAAATGTATTTAGAAATATGCTGACTCTGGGTCATCGCGATGTGGTAAAGTCATTCTCCAGGAGTTTGAGAAGGATGAATTCAGCATGCCATTGCATTGTATGCAGCACTCACATCAGCCTTCAGCTGACAGTCAGATCATAGTTTCTTTCTGGCTCCATATATTCCTTGCCACTGTCTAGGTCTAACTTTAGAGATCTGCCTTCCATTTCGGCTCAACCTGAAATCTGACATCAGCACATCATAGCACATACTGTCCTTGACAGCTTAGGCAAAAATGGATGTTCCTACTCCCCTAGCATTCCCTACCAGTCAGAAAGAGTTGAAGGCCTTGGAGAAGGAATTTTGGCAGCACATTCATGTCCTTGCATGCTTTCTCTGAGGCTGGCAAAACTACGTGGAGACATTTCCGGTATGCTGATCAGAGCCTTTGGAGAAGCTGGCAGAGCCCAGCTGTCAAGGTAGATTGCAGCCAACTGATCTGGTGGGATTAGCAAGGATTACCATGAATGCTTTCTGTTGGAAAGGAGGGCTGATCAGCCAGGACTGCTTCTGGGGCTGCCCAAATGTGGACTTCTTCTGAAACAGGTTTAGTCACCAGAGTAAGTTGCAGACATTGGATGCAGCTCACAGAGGAAGCTAGGAGGCAACAAGCTCAGTGATAGCTGACACTGTCTCTAGGCAGTAATACGAGGTAAGATGGAGTATCATATGTCTGAGGCCTGTCTAATTTCATTTCCTGGCTCTGAGGTTTTCCCAGTCTTCCTGGACAATGGAGCCAGTCATTTCCCCCGAAACTACCACCAAATAAATCAGCTTTTGACCCCTTACAGGAAGGGGCTTGATCTGAGGCCTTGCCTCCTCCATCTTCAAGATAGGGTATGCCAGACTTCTTGAAAAAGGTTTAATGAAATGCCCTAAGTGGGTATAGACAAAATCCTTCAAGATAGACAGATGCCTCCAAATCTTGCTGAGTCTCAAATTATGAGAGAGGAAGGACATTTATCTTTGCTCACTGCCAGTCCTATAAACCCCTTATATCACCCCTTAGATCTTTAGGTTGGAGGCTGCCCTTTGGTCACCTGTGCAGTAATGCTCTGCCTTTCTGCTGGGCCTGCCATACCCATGGTGGGTTGTGCCCTTGCCTAGCTCCAGACAGAGGTGGTTGTCTGGCAGGACTGCTGGGTGGCTTCCTCTTTTCAGGTCGAGTGTCTGAGCAGCAGTGTGGAAAGTTGTGGGCCTGCACTAGCAGGACCTCCATCAGAAAGGATGCAACATAACAAACACCAGACAGGCAAAGGAGCAAGATAGTTTTCTCCCACCTTCCAAGAGATGGTCACCACAGCTGGTGACTCCCTGTCCACTGAAACTCAACCTGGAGAGCCCCAGACCAGCCTGGCTGAAGGCTCAGATACCTTTGGCAGTGGCATGGATTCCTCTGGCTGCAATCCTGTTTGGTGTGCTGCCAGAAAAGTTCTGTAAATGACTTTATGCACATTATCTAGCTCTTCTCTCAGGTGGGTGCCTCCCTGGATGTTGAAGCTAGTACTAATCCCTGCACACACTCTTCGTCCTGCACTGTGTTTACTGATAAACCTCATCACATAAATTGTGTTCAAGTGCAGAATCAATAGTTAGAATGCCTGCAGGGAGTTATTTCACTGCTTTGCAGATGTCACACTTGGTGCATATTGCAGGTGAGACTGATTTCTGTGATACACTAAGGGAGAGAAATGGAGTCAATTACAGACTGCTTTGGCCTGCCCTTCAGAAAAAAAGGTGATGCAGCCTTGCTGGAAAATCACTTTTCTTTCAAAAAGCTCCTGGCTTTCCCAAGCCATTTATAGTCACATGGGCTTTGAATGGAACTTGTGGCTACATTATGCCCTTGTCCGGCTTCCATCACTGAGAAGATCAAAGACTGCTTCCAGGCTGATGCTTGCAAACAAGAGTCGCTGTTTTTGTCATCTGGTGTTAGGAGTGGTACGGTCCTGTGTCAGTAACCCAGATAGAGCTGTGCTTGCCATTTTTAGACCCTCATCAGAGAGATGTAAGGGAGTTTGCTGTAATTTTCTTTGTGGACATGGTAAGGAGGCTTCTGTGACGTGTGAGAGCTTGCCTAGGAGCACCTACAAAGGTAACTGGTTGAGAAAAATTAAAATCAGGCAGTAGGGGCTGAGAACACAAGTAGCTGAACGGTGGAGCTGGGGAGCTGATTATGAAGGATTCTTGAAATGAAGACAAATAATCCACAGCTGTTGTCATAGTCTAAATACTTCCTGTTTACATCTCTTCCTGTCACGCAGGTAGTAGAACTACTTCTCTCCCTTGGAAAGACATCAAAACAGAAAAAGAAAGAAAGAGAGAGAAAGTAGAACATGTTAAGAGTAGTGGAAACCATAAGTCAGGTTGCACTTAGTTCATATACTCTATTACTATTTCTGTACTCTGGAATAAGGTTTTTTCCCTAGGCTAAGGAAAAAGGAATAGTTCATGCAGAAATTAAAGGCCCTAAATTTTCCCCCTGCTGTCTCCTGCAGGATGAATATAAGCCAGAAAAGGCTTTGTCTGAGGAAGATCTGAAGAATGCTGTTAGTGTGCACCATGCGCTGGCATCCAAGGCAACAGACTATGAGAAGAAACCCAATGTCCTCAAGCTTAAAACAGCAGATTGGAGAGTCCTGCTTTTCCAAGCCCAGTAAGTGCTCTACTTGTGCTACTCATTGAGGAGAGAAAGCAGTGCTGAAAAATGAATAAATTCCTGCCTGGACAGGTCAAAGCAGAGGCTTAAGAGGTTCAATCTGTTTATTTGATCAGAAATATGATTAAGTAGTGATGTGATTACAGTGCACAAGTAGTGCATGAGAAAGAAACATCAGGTTTTAAGAGGCTTTTTAATCTAGCTGAGAGAGGCATAACAAAATGCAGCAGCTAGAATCTGAAGCTCCAGGAAATTCAATTTGGAATCAAGGCACAAACTTATAACTGTCAGGGTGATTAATCATTGAAGCAAATGACCAAAGGTAGCCTTGGATTGTCTGTCTCCTGATGTCATTGAGCCCTAGCCAGATGTCTTTCTAGAAGGAATGCTGTGGTCAGAAACAAAGTTACTACTTAATACAAGAATGATTTAATAAAGTTTTTCATGCTGTGATATCCAGACATAACAGATGACCTGCCTTTTGCTTCTGAGCCCTTTTCTACTGAGATCCATATTAAACCTCCTAGAGATCTGTGGTGTCCAGCACAACTGAGACCTTAGGACATATGTCTGAATCAGGGCATTAGTTGGCTCTGTGAGCTGTGTTACTGGGATTGGATTAGGGAAAGATGTGTGCTAAGGTATGGACCAAACCACAAGCCAGCCTGTGACTGAGCTACTTAGCACTAACTGCTTCCAAACATAGGCAGGAATACGGAGCAGACTCTTAAGGATTGTCTAGTTTTGGTTATTCTGACTTTTAAAATACTATAGAAGGGATGGAAATAGGTAGATAAGGCTGAGTCAGCAGTGCTTAATATGTGTTGCTTCCTCAGGAGCCAAGAAGAAATGCAGACCTGGATCAACAAGATTAACTGTGTGGCTGCTGTCTTCTCTGCACCACCATTTCCAGCAGCCATTGGCTCTCAGAAGAAGTTCAGTCGCCCACTCCTGCCAGCCACCACAACAAAGCTATCTCAGGTGAGACATTTTTGTATAGAGGGTAGGTGATGATGATTTCTCTTTCTGACTGGACACTGGATGGTGGTCCTTCTCAGTGTTTTATAACTATTGCCACTAGCAGTCCTAGGAGGAGAAGGCTTGCATAGTAAATCTCTGGTCATTTCCTTGTGCAAGATTTAAAATGGGGGGAGAAGAGGAACAGACTCAAATACGACTGTTTTATGTTTCTGAAGAAAATAGATAAAGAATTAGATAAATAATTTTATTCTTGTGCTTATTGACCCTCAGAGGACATTTCACATACTGATTTATGAGGGTTTTTTGTATTTGAGTGTTTATGAAAGCCACTAATTTCAGATTAAGTGGACATATTCCTGGTCTTTGGCGTATTGAATTGATAAAAGGTGAAAACTTTTGATGCATCAGACAAGAATCAATTATATTTCTCTGACTAGATTTTCCAGACTTCATTTATCAGCTCAGGAATTTCCTGTATAATATATATATTTTTAAACTGTCTTGCATGAATCTCTTCATTCTCCCTTGTGATCACACAAGCTTTTAGTATCCCATGGCAAGGAGTTTCACAGTTCTATTGCTTCTTGCACAAACACACGTATTTTCTGCTTGTTTCAGACTGATTGTGTCAGATGCTTGTGCCCATACCTTTTTGTATTTTAGGAGATGCAATGCCTGCCTGGTATTCCTCCTGCATTGGCAGGAACATGATACTGATTGTGTTGATCAGATTGACAGAGGTTATACTTCATGACATCTTCCTGTAGCTTTTAAAGTGATCTGCCCGTGCTGTATTGCTTCTTAAATGCATTTGTTGGGTTTTTTTTGTTTTTTTTTTTTTTACTGTCTTCATAGCTTAGCAACTATCCTTAGAAACCACTGTCTCAAAATCTGTGTTTCTCTAAGGGTGTAGGGTTTTTAGGTTGCTTGTGCTTTTTCTCTCTCCATGACAGTAGGCTTTCTTCTTACAATGTGGTTACTGACTTACCACTTTTTGTTCTGGGCTAAAGTTTAAAGCATGTTATGTAAAAAACTGATACTAACTTGTTTCATCATTTTGGTTTTAGTTTTTGCTCATGCATACCTTTTTAAAAATACAGTATGAGGCTTCCATAATTTACCTCCAGTCACCAAGAACTTGTTGTTCTGTATATTGTTCCATTTAGCATGTTGTTTCCTAGTCTCACTGTTTCCATTTAACCTGGAAAGGGAAATGATAGATCACAACCCTGTGGTTTGTATCTTGAAGAAGGAGAGACATGAAAAGTGGAATAAGATAAGCTGTTTTAGACAAGCAGAAGAATGTTAAGTGTTCAAAATAGATAAATTCAAAGGGAAGTAGAAACATTTCTGCTTTCATCTGTCACTGTGGAAAACCTGCCAGCAGGCTGTTTCTCATAAAAAAATACAAATTGTCAGATGCCTGTGGTTGATGTTTAGGATTTTATGGGATAAATCATGATGGACACTACTTCTTCAAAGGGTCTGTTCCTGGTCAGCCAGAAGTCGAGTTGCAGTGAGGACCTGGCATGGGTAAGGAAGAGAGGCTGGACATGATGACAGGTTGTGCAAGATCATTGTACCAGACTTTCTTTCAGAAGCAGAGCAGTGTACGATCTTGGTTAGTCCAACCAAAGAGGGATGTGACAGAGCAATATATAAAGGAGCAACGAGTCTAGAAAAGACCTACTAGGGTGTTGGGTTTTTTCTTTTTTTCTGAATATGCGCAGCACACACAAAAGCTCTAAAGCTGGTGCCCTGGAAATGACAAGTGCTGTATTAATAGCTGCTCAAAGACCTCCTGTCATCAGGCTGTAGAACTCACTACCACAGGATGTCCCTGGGACCAGGGAATCAGCACAACGTAAAGAGTGACTGGGCACTGATGAGCGAGCATGCACATTTAGGGTAGTAACTAACAGCAACAAGAATTTTTGGCAAATTCTTTCTTTAGAACCCTACCATGTTTAGGCAGAGGCAAATTAGCCCACATGTTTCTCTCTTCAGTACTCCTGCAAAAGAATTGAAACACAAGATTAGCTGGGTGTCAGCTATCATCATCTGTAGAAGTTTTCCCCCTTTTTGCTGTTTTTCGTGGCTCCAGCTCAGTGAGCCAAGATGCTCAGTCCCCAGCGTGACTCAGTGCGGTGCAGGCATTTCTGAGCTAAGCTTGAAGCTGTGGGCTTCATCTGAGCTGTGGGCTGTGCTCAGAACCCCACCACTGAGGGACAGCACTGGCAGCTGTTCCGTCCTCTGAGGCGAGGTGCCTACACAGGAGCTGACCTGGGTACTGCCTCTTGGCTAATTCACCAATATCTGCATGATCATGTGTCTATTTTGGACTTACCTAATTCAAACATGATTTCAGATCCAAGCCTAGAAATGGACAGAAGGCCATCCTGCAGGAGATGAAAACCTTCTGAGATGAGGGAAGGTTAGCTGACAGATGGACTGGAGGAAGTGAGTGGGCCTGGGATTATGATAAAGGAAATTGCCTAGAAAGTGGGAGTAGCAGCTCCTCACTTTCTCCGACTGCACAGTGGGATAAAAGCTGGTAGCAGCTTAGCAAAATGAGATACGTTTTGGGGTCTGGACAGCCCTTCCTCTTCTGAATGCACTGTATTATTCTAAACAAATAGAAACCACACACCAGAGAGCTTTTGGCAGTGCAGAAATAGAAGGAGTGGCCCCGGCTCTATGACTTTCTATCCTGGAAGGAATTCCTTTTACATTGTAATGACCTGAGGCAGGGCCTTCACCTGTCTCAGTCTGCCCTTCGTTTGTCTGCATATACAATAGTCTTAATTAATATACAAAAAAATGTGTTAAAGCGAAAGTGTCATGTTGTCAGTATTGCTCAGCAGCAAGCTGCTTCTGTTGCTCACAGCAAGGCAATGGATGACAAGTTTGCTCTCCTTCCCAGTGGCATCTGCTAGCTGCTGAGTTTTTCTGCAAGCTTGGCCACTTTGAGTGCCTTTGAGAGAGCGTGCCTTTGGTAGCAGCGCTCTGGGATGGCAGACCTTATCAAGCTAAGAAAAAGAAACTATGAGGTATTATTGTACAGGAACCTTTCTATTTTTCTTTGCTTATTGGATATTTTAGATTCTGTCACTTAAGTGCCTAATGTGTTTCTGAAGGATGAACAGCTGAAGTCCCATGAAGCTAAGCTGAAGCAGATCTCCACTGAGCTTGCTGAACATCGCTCCTATCCTCCTGACAAGAAGCTCAAAGGCAAGGAAGTAGATGATTACAAACTGAAGGACCACTATCTGGAGTTTGAGGTATATGTGGGAAGCATTATTACTTTTACTTCTTGGGTGTGGATGGTCTTATATTTGGGGTAAAGTCCTGAAGTTCTGCATTTTTCACTTTACTTCCCCAGGAAGTGTGTTCTTGGTAGGCAGAAAAGTCACAGCAATTGCAGATGCTGGGATATGGTTCTTCTTTCTGGTGAGAACTTCTTTAGTGAATTTAGCTCCCAGTCTGTAACATGGAGGATAGAAACAAGACTCCTGTCCTTCTTGATTAAGAGATTTTAAGATCTTCATGCACAAAGTGTCTCGTGTTGTAAAACTGTGTTGCCTAGAGTATTGGAACCTCAGTTTCTAAAGAATAACTGTGTTCAGCAGGAATGCAGACAATGGTAATTGTCTTCCATTGGTAGGTTCTGAAGGAACTGATATGCTGGAGTTATTGTCATAGGCATGCCTCCCTCATCAGAGCCATTTGTGTTGTATACCACTGAAATGGATGTCAGGATAAGAAGGAAAATGGTAGAATTAAAGATCACAGGGTTGAGTGATGCAACTTAGGCAGATGCATTAGGGGATTGTTTTGAGTATCTGACAGCAGCTTTTATCTATAACGGTGAATGCCACATTTTAGGACTGTGGGAATGAATGGGCAACCCAGCAGATGTCTGGTATTTGATATGACTACACCTTTGAGCTTTTTCCTCCAGGACTGCAAGTCAATGTTGCCTTGGATCTGAAAGGATCCTACTCTAAATAGGCACTGCCTGGCAAGGAAAATACATAGTCTGAGAAAGAGGAAGAGCAGATAAGACAGATGAGACCACCAGAGCTGATGCTGGAGGCAACACAGTACAAGCCTCCAGAGCTGAAGTAAGCCTTCTGCCCCATGCTGCCAGTTTCTTTTAGAGGGACTCTTTTTACTCCTGGTCTTAAATCATTGCATACTTTTGCTTTTGCAGAAAGTTTACCACTGTGTGACCACTGTGTTGAGTTTCACTTTGCTGTAGCAATGTCCATCAGCATGGCTTTATGAAGGAGGAATCATAACCTGACCAACATGATAGTCTTTTATGATGTGATATTCAGTGTGATGGATGAGGGGAGAGCAGTGGATGTTGCTTGTTCTTTGCTTTGACAAGAATTCTGACATTTTTACCTCTAACGACCCTGTAGTCGTGGATTAAGTGGATTAGGAAGTTGACAGTGAGGTGAACAATAGAGATCAAAGGATTGTGATCAATGGCACAGTGACAGTTAGTTTTGAACAGAGCACTCAGATGTACAAAGTAAGCCACACACTTTCTCTCTGGAGGGGATCTTGTAAAACTTGAAAGATCAAGCATTTTCTTAGGTTTGGGTTCTTGACATAAAGTTTATTTACTATCACTTTTAGAAGCTTGGTGAGTTAGGATGAAATGTAGGCTGGAGTATTAAAAGTTTATAGAAAGATTGATGAGGGAGTAGATTGTTGTGGTGTTTTTTTTTGTTTGTTTGTTTGGTTGGTTTTTTTGTTTCCTGTGAATTTTATCAGCGATAATATCCTTTATCTTTTAAGGATATTTCTCAGGTACCTCAGTACAAATCAGAACCAGTATAGCCCAGGAAACAAAAGGTGTCCTCTTCATGAGTGAGAGTCTTGAATAGCATTTGAGCTGTGCAGTTCAGATTAGTGATCAGCTCTGCACAAGTGCTCATCTAAGCAGGCAAGTTGTGGCAACAGCTTCAGTTATGTGGGAGAAATTCAAGGTGCTGGTTTGCTCTGCTGTGTTACCTTCACACTAAGCACAGATTTCACAGACCATGTTGAACTACCAAGACACCATTCCAAGGGTCATGAAAGCAGGCAATTCCAAAATGTTGGAAGTCAAACAGATGAGGCAGAAGGCTAACCGAGATCTTCTTCTGGGGCTAAGGCAAAAAAAGTAAGGTTTATGCTGAGTGGAAGCAAGGTTAAGTGGCATGGGAAGAATACAGAGCGAGGTGCTGCTCACCATTGTAACAAGAAAATTCATGTGGCCAAATCTCAATTGCAGTTGCATCTGGCCAGAACTATGGGGGATAAAATGAGTGTTTTTAAAAGAGTGTCAATAAAAAGAGTGTTTTGAAATATATTAATGTCAAAAGGCAGTATAGAAATAATATCAGCCTCTTACAGGATTAAGATAGTCATCTCACAAACAGGGACATGGGCAAGGCAGAGGTATTTAATGCAGTTTTTGCCTCTGTTTGCAATATGGATGGCAGACCAGGGGGATCTCAGTGCCCTGAGCTGAAGGACCATGATTGTGAGAATGATCAGCTCCCATCTAACCTTGAAGTTGTGTGGGATCAGCTGTTCCAGCTGGATCCCTGCAAATATATGGGGCCTAATGTGATTCATCCAAGAAACCTCAAAAAGTTTTCTGATGTCATCACAAAACTACTCTCGATGATATTTGAACAATCTGGATAGATCCCAATTGGCTGGAAACTATCTAATGTTTTCCCAGTTTCCAAGAAGGGCAAAAAGGATGTCACTGGAAACTACAGGTCTGTCAGTCTCACTTCAGTGCCTGGTAAAATTACAGAAAATTATTCTGGGGAGTACTGGAAAACACCTGGAGGACACTGGGACCATCATCACATTTTCCATGAGAGGAAAGTCAGGCTTGTCCAACCTGGTTTCCTTTTATGACAGGATAACCCACTTAGTTAATCAACAGAAGCCAGTTAATGCAATCTTTTTTTTATTTCATAAGGCTTTTGATATTGTCTCTCTCAGGACCCTTCTGGAGAAAATGTGCAGCCCAAAGCTGGATAAACACACCATATGGTGGGTGAGCAGCTGCTCAAGGGTCAGGCACAAAGAGCTGCACTGATGGGGTGACATCACACTGATGTGAATTGTCACTAGTGGGGTTCCATAGGGCTCCATCCTTAGCCCTGTGTTCTTGAACATCTTCATAAATTACTTGGACACAGGTCTGGAAGGGATACTAAGCAAGTTCTCAGATGATACAGAACTGAGAGAAGCTGTTGACTCCCTTGAAGGCAAGGAGGCCCTGCAGAGAGACCTTCACAAATCAAGAGGTAATCTGATTTGCAATCACCACCTGTGTGAAGTTCAACAGGGGAAAGTGCTGATGGGGCAGCCCTGGGTGTATGGACCACCTGGGAATGAGGAAATGGAGAGCAGTGCCATGGAAAGGGAGCTGGTCAAGGGCAAGTTGAACATGAGCCAGCAGTGGCCTGGCAGCCAGGAGGGCCAGCTCTGCCCTGGGGTGCATCAGGCACAGCATCACCAGCTGGGCAAGAGAAGGGATTGTCCTGCTCTGCTCTGAGCTGGGGCAGCCTCACCTCGAGCGCTGGGGGCAGTTTTGGGCAGCTCAGTATAAGAAAGATACGAAACCCCAAAGCCTCCAAAGGAGGGCAGTGAAGATAATGAAGGGCCTTAAGGGGAATCCACATGAGGAGCAGCTGAGGTCCCTTGGTTTGTTCAACCTGGAGGAGAGGGACTGAGGGGAGACCTCATTGCAGTCAACAACTTTCTTGTGAGGGGCAGAGGAGGGAGAGGCACTGATCTGTCTGTGATGATGTGTGGGAATGGCCTGAAGTTGTGTCAGGGGAGATTTAGGCTGGATGTTGGAGAGAGGTTCTTCTTCACCCAGAGGGTGGTTGGACACTGGAACAGGGTTCCCAGGGAAATGATCACAGCACCAGCCTGACAAGAGTTCAAGAAGCATTTGGACAATGCTCTCAGGTACATGGTGTGATTCTTGTGGATGATCCTGTGCAGGGCTAGGAATTGGACTGGTTATCCTTGTGGTCCCTTTCCAACTCAATTTATTCTGTTATTCTGTGAGGCAGTAAAAATCCCAAACCAAACCTAAATGTTGAATTGTATTAAAATTGTGAATGGAAATTTTGTGAATGGAAAGCTTCCCTTTAGAACAATGCCTGTCAGGGTTGGTAGGAGTGGTGAAAGAGCTTGCTGCATGAGGTTAAATGACAAGGGCAAGGGGCATGTGAGGTAGGATTTTGTAGCTGTCCCTTTCAGGCTGAGACAGCAGGCTAAACCTTGTGTCTGTGTAAAAAAGGCCATGCTGATACATCTCAGGAAACACACCCAAAGGGCCTGTGGGTCCCTAAGTTAGCATAGTACTAGGAAGGAAGATGTCATTTTCCTTTTCTGTACAATTTCTTTTTGTTTACACACTGGTGGTGCCTACATTCTTGTTCCTGACGAAAGACAATGAGATGGAGGGGAGGTGAACCAGGAGGTAACTGGTGCTTGTTCAGGTATGCAGCCAGTAACATTTGTTTTTGATGGTGTCTTTGCATATACACACCATGGAAGGAACAGCACTCATTACCTTCTCTCTGAGAAAGTACTGCATCAGTTTGCAAAAAAAATGTTGCTTATTGCAGAAAATTTATAATTAGAGAAAGATCTTTTGAGTGCTGTCAAGTGAGAGGTGAAGCCAGAATACTGATGTGTGGCTGCCTCATACTTCTTTATTACGTGCATTCATTCTTTAGAGATAATGTTGCAGAAGTTTTTGAATGGTTTCAACTTATGTGGTTTTATTTCTTGACAGAAATTTCCAAATTAATTTCTTTCAAGACAAGATTTCCACTAGCATTTACCTAACTTGAAATGTCAGGTCACTGAAAGACCAACTTTGTTGTGGTTGAAATCAAAGTAGAAATGTGTTGCTTAATTATAATAGAAATAAAGGGGAAAATGGTCATTTGCACAGATGCAGGTCTTGGATTTCCATTCTGATTGCCGAGTCCTGAGACTCTGGTGGTGGTTACTGGACCAGTAAAAGCACAAATCTGTACAACAGTAAAGCCCCCCTCTCAATTTCATGATATTGCGCTGTTCCCAAGCTGAGAGCGCTGGCTGGCCTTTTACAGAAGCGTCTGGTTCATTTTGTGATGAATCATCCATCAGCTCAGTGCATCATCGTCAGAGTTCTTCTTGCTGTTTCTCCATTTCCATTTTTATTAAATGACACATCTTACCTGCTTCATGTGTTTGTCTCTCACGTTGTGGAGCTCCATCTCCAGATATGGAAGTCATAGGAATACTTATTTATTTAATTTGTAGGAGGATTCTCTTATGATTCTCCTCTATCAGGGTTTGTTTATTCAAAGGATTCTCAAAAGCCAGTCACATTTTCTTCTTTTTTTCCCCCCTTTATATTTCACACTTCAGTGCAGTTACCAAGCTTTTTGACTTCCTGACCTTAAATAAATGTTTTTACCAGAACTTTATTATTTTATTAGAAAATTTAAATTGTTTTCTTAAATACTTTTTCCTCTGTCAGGAGCATCATAGCTTGACTGCTGTTCTGCTACTTTCAAATGCAATTTAACAGTCAGTACAGATATTTACATCCACCTTCCTGACTCCCAGCACACTGAGATCACTGTAATTACAAGGCCTGCACCATGTCTTTAGTGGATATATCAGGGGCAGGTTATTAAATAAATCCTATGAAGTGGATTGCTCTATTTTCATGACCTCCTGCCCCAACATCTGGTTTTGAGACCTTTGAGGGGTCTTCTGTTACTGTACCCTCATTTTCTTCCTTGCTGAATTGTTTTTTTGGAAAATGGTACGGTTGTAGCAAACAGAATGAAATCTTCCTGTTGGAGAGGGAAAACCCTGCTCCAGGCAAGGAATAGAAAAAATGGGCAGGGGGGATGTAAAGTGAACTTTCTCCAGTTGAAAAATACAAGTTGAAAAATGCTAGACAGACAGCAGCCTTCATCATTCCCTGTGAGTGATGTAGCAGAGAAACATGCCATGCTGCTGTCATAGCCCTCTCATCTGCTCCTTTTTGTCAAGGTCTGGCCTTTTACAAGATTCTCCCGTGTGCTGGTACAGTCTGAACTTAGACCCTACTTTGGTTTTCTCCCCCGTGGATAAGAAAAGCAGGAGAAGCAGGACCTGCTGGTGGGAGTGGAGGATTGCAGCAGGGCAGGATTTTTGTTGTCCCTTCGTTTAGTGCATTTTATCTCCATGTGTGCCAGAGCACATAGGATCTCAGTGTGTGTGAGCACAGCTTTGGTCTCAACATGACTGAAGTAGCAAGCTTTCGTTTGGTTACTTGGAATGGGAGCCACCACTCCTCAGAGAATCGGAATTTGTGTGCTGCAGAACTGAGTGCCTCTAATCACACAGCATCCCAGGCCTCAGTCTGCCTGAAATCCTCTTTGTTTAATTTATATTAGCCACTGTGTTTCATATCCACATTAGGCTCCATTGTTTGCATACATGTTGAGCTCCTGGCTTTCAAGGCCAGCAGAAAGCATTAAGTGGTCTCTCATGTGCTCCTGCAGAGTTTCTTCCAGACTGATTGGGCCTTTCTTTTCATTTCCCAGAAAAACCGCTATGAGATTTATGTTGGCCTGCTGAAAGAAGGGGTGAAGGAGCTGCTGAGCGGAGGAGAGAACGACGCGCCAGGACTGAAGAAATCCCACTCAAGTCCTTCTTTGAATCAGGAGTCTCCAGTTAGTGCCAAGGTGAAACGCAATGTCTCAGAGAGGAAGGACTACAGGCCAGAAACACCCAGCATTAAGCAGAAGATTACTTAGGGTGGAAATGACAACTAGGGGAACAGCCATGCAGCAAAGTATTGGTGGTCAAAATTTTTTCATTTAATAACCTGTCATTCACAAAAAATAAGTGCATCTGCCTGAATGGGGTGTTAGTGACATTTTCTATTGTATATTTTGCTGTTTCTGTGCAGATTGTGGGAGATGTCTTTGCTCCTGCTTTGCTTTGCTTTGTTAATTTATCATTTAGCAATTGAAGCATCGGGACTTTTTTGTGTTATTCTGTTCTAAAGGAGCTGGGGAAGGGATAGAGTGCTGTGATGTTTATTCTGTCTCCTCCCCATTTATCTCCTCCCATCGACATGTGGCTTTCATCTCTCAAGTCACTTGTCACTTTATTTACGTGGTAGGTGGGAAAAATAACTGGACAAGTGCTGCAGTGCTGTGAATATGAGCTGTAGCTGTGAGAAAAGCTGTGCAAACATGCAGCTGCAGAAGGCTAACTAGAGGCTAGGGTGCTGGGAACACTAGTTTCCTGACAATATGGGGCATGTTGGTACTGGTACTTAGCAGCAGGTGGTACAGTAAATAGTCACTGTTGCTTCTTGTTACTGTATTGACCCTGGACACTTCACGAGTGTAAAGGAATGAAACCTGGAAACCTCTGGCAATGCTGAGATGATGGCATTGGAATAATTTGTTTGCTTCCTTCCAAGCAGAGAGCCTTCTCCTGAGTTTGCAGGCTGGAAGGCATCCAAACCCATGCTGTCTCTGCAGTCAGGAAGATTAAGGATTACCCAGTTGGAATGGCTATCTGGGCTTCACATTTATTTGCAGAGAAGGCTGCTGTAGATGTCAGCCATTAGCATTATATATTAATTATATATATTAAAGACAAAGGGCCTCTGTGTAGTTTTTAACTATACGCTCTCACTTAGCTGCTATATAGAGCCTTATGATATATTGTGTCCTGTTGCTTCCCCTTCAAGGGGTTTCCTTGTTGGTGTGCACAGAGAGCTGCTTTCAATTCCTCTCATAGTGACAAAGCACTTGGCCTTTTTTCTTCAGAATGGGATTTTCCTCAGTTCTCCATTTTCCTTTTTTAGCTGATACATAGGTGGAAGAGGCTGGTGCCTCCTCACAGTTCCTGCAAACCCCTGTACCAGGCTTTCCAAGGGGAGCACAGGTCTGAGAGAGACCACCATGGGTAGGTCTTTCCATACCTGAAAGACCCCTGTTTGTGCCATAGACCTTTGGGGTGGCCAGCAGTTTTCAGGCACAGACAGCAGAAAGATGACATAGAAATAATTTTCCTGCTTCCCAGCCCCTCTTGTCTGGGCAGTGTTATGGCTCTGTCACCTAACCTGTTACTGAGTTTTAATCTCAATTTTTATACTGGCCCACAGGGTGAGCTTGGACAGGTCTCTCCAATTTGGTGTCAGCTTTTCCCTATATGAAGCAGTACTACCAAACTGGCCTTTACCACAGAGCGCCTTGGGAGATAAAGTTGAGGGACAGTTGAAAATTGCTCCTTGCTGTTCATTCTGTTGTGCCTGGCACAGGACAGGCTTCTTGTTGAATGCAATTCTTGATGCATAGAGAAATGTCAAGATCCATGCAAGGACTGTTTAGAAATGCTCTGGTGCTTTCAGCCCAAGTAGTCAAAGGGCCACACATCAAAAAAATTGCTGTCTGAATGGATGTGTGTTCTGTCAGGCTTCCCAAGGGTCCAAGTCAATTCATCTAGTTTTATTGAGCTGCCAGTCCAGTGAGCAGAATAGTAGTGATTAAAGAGAAAAGGCCCTTAACAGGCACTGCATGACTTGCCTCCAGTACCAAGTACCACCAAAGCAACAGCTTTTCAGGTGTTGTGCTGACTGTTGCCTGTAACCATGATGTTGCACTCTCAAATGTGAAGTTTTGGGGCAAATTGATCCTTGCAGCTGCAGCCTGGCTGGCAGCAAAGCCAGATGAGACTGTTCTCACAAGTGATGTGCATCCGTTTGGCATCTGCCACTGAGAGTGGCCGCTCTGTGCTAAAAGTCAGGAGGTTGGCTCCTAACCTTGGCAACGTTGCTAAAAGCTGCAGAGTCCTGAGTAGAAATTGGCAGTGCTTCCCAAGTGCTGGGGTTTCAGAAGTTGTGCATTCTGACTGAGGTGGAGTTAACATTCAGTTCTCTCATTGAGGATGAGAGGTGTCTTCTGCTGCTGGAGCCAACGTTACGTGGTGCAGCTTATTGTGTGGGGAGACTCAGCTGAGATGCATGGTAGTGCTCACTGGGAGGGATTGTTTGGGGTAATTGAGAGTGGTGGATCAACAGCTCATGGAGGGGAAACAAATACAGATCGCTGCAGCTGCTTGTCATGCTTTGGAGGTTGAAAAGGAACAAGCAGAACAGAGAGAAGAAATTCATTTGGGGAATGCTGAATGCACCTTTGGGAAGAAAACTTGACCTCTGTTATGATTAAGGAGTGGTATTTAGTGTTCCCACTGAGACTCTCAAACAGCATGGCCCTTGCTCACTCCCTGCTTCCCCTCCCCATCCTGGAGAGGAGAATTAGAGGCATAAAAGGCAAAGATCACAAAGATTGAGGTAACAACAATTTACTGGAAAAGGCAATGAGATAAGAAAATGAATGGTAAACAACAACAGTATTAAAAACAGAGTGTTCAAGAATGCTCACCACGCAGAACCCAACAGTACCTAACCACTTGCTTCCCAATACCCCGACGTAGAAGGGGTATCTTCTCTGGTTCCTGGAAAATGACATGAGGTGGTATAGAATAAACATCAAGTCCAAGCCATGCTCCTGCTGGGCTACTGCATAAATTAACACCATCCTGGCCAGAACCAGTGCATCATTACTTGAATTATTTTAAATACCAATAGGAATACATGCAGCAGAAACAAACCCCAAAAACGGTGCAGATATATAAATGGCCCTGCTTCGCTGTCAGGGTTGGTTTGAGTAGATGATCTTTTTAAAAGCAGGCTAGAACATGCTTGGCAAACCTCTTGTGTTTATGGAGTGCAATGCTTCAAAAGGCAAAGAGGTGACATTTAACTTTCTTCTTCTCTGGCTTTAAACGTATTTTCATTGCTGAAAATTCCAGCTAAATTGCTGAGCTCAAAAAGAAATTACTCCTGTTAAATGCATTTTCCAGCTTTGACACAGAAACTGGGTAATTCCTCTTCAAAGTCATTGCAGAAAAGATGATTTGAAGCAATAGGAAAAATCAAAAAGTGAACTGCAAAAATGTTGTTTTTTTCATTATTTATTATCTATTTCCTTGTATACTTGTAAACGGATAGGATTTTTTTTTTTTGGGGTCTCATCTGAGTGTATCACATGCAGTTTTTCACTGCATTTTTTGGTCTTTAAACATTAGTTGAGCTTAGAGCAGTCTTGCTGAGACTGCTGAGGCATGCAAGTCAGTTTACCCAGAATTTATAGTTTCTGCTTCAGTTTTAATTAATGCCATTTTCCTTTGTTGCTTTACAATTTATAAGCATCCCAGGCTCCTGTGTAGAAATGCACGCTTTGGAGAACAAGAAAAAAATGTGATCCTGTTGCAAAAGTCTAAGACTCCTGCCCTCCCTTGCAAATAGGTTCATCTACCAGTCAGTACTGTAATTAATTTTTTTTCCCTCCTGATGACACTATAAAGGATAGGGCAGGTTCTCAGGTGGTTGGAATGGTGCATCTCCTTGAGTAGCACCATGAGGAGTCTGACCAGGTAGCTTAGCGTGGTACCCTGCACCCTGCCTTTCTTTGCTGAAATATTTGCCTTTAGGGGAGATCAGTGCTTGACTGCAGCGACTCAGGAGCTCTGGTTGCAGCATGTAAGGATATTCTGCTGGTTTCCAGCCCGCCTCTGGGACTTTAGCTGCAAATCACTGGAGCAGCCTGCAGTTTCCTGGGTGTGCTCCGTGTAAGGAGTTACTGGCTGGCCGCCATGAGCATGTGTGCATGTGGGAGAGCCTTTGCATTGGTGATGCAGCGAGGTGTCATCCTTCCTTGTCACCCTCCCTGCTCTAGTGAGCTGTCATTGCTCAGGCGAAGCCTCTGCCTGCATGTAGAGAGTGGGAATCCAAAGAGGGGAGCAGGCTAAGGCTGACACCTCCTTACTTCCCCTTTCCCAAGGTGCAGACAGTGGTTCTGGAAGGACCCACCTGGCTCTGAAGTGTTGCTGGCTCCTGGGGCTGAACTGCTATCCCCAACTAAAGAAGGAGAGACAGGAAAGGGCCCCACTAGTCTGCACCTGACAGCAGAGGGCTGATGGAGAAGGGGAAAACTGCCTTCCCCCTCCCCACCCAGCAACCAAAGCAGGTTAAATACTCTCTTGAAGCCAAAACCATACTCTCCTCTATGATTCAGCACGATGCAGGGGACTGTTTCAGATGGATTTTGTTCATCAGTGGCTGCGAAAGAGACTCCCTGGGCTAGCTGTGTGTTTGTCTACATCTTGCAGATAAATTAGGCATGAACCAGTGAACATGATTACAGCTTCTAAATCCAGTATTTATGTTGTGTCTTTAGTTGATGTAGAGAGATAAGTCATCCAGCAGAGTGATTAATGCATCGGAGTTTTGCGGGAGTGCTTTTCAGCTGTGTTGCCGACTCAGTTTTTCATCTGTAGCCAGTCACTTGTAAATGGTTACCAGAAACTTTCAAATAATTAGTAACAGCTCCTCACTGAAATACTTTCCCTCTGATCCTGCCTGCTCCCAGGTTGCAGTCTGTGCTCTGCACTGCCCTGCTTTGAGGGGGACTTTGGCCTAACAGACCTCCAGGGACTGGAATTGTTCAGTGACGTTTCACAGCTCCAGTGCCTTCAGATAACAAGGCTGGTTGCTCCTCTGGCTTGAAAAAGAACTTTTGCCTTTCTCCAATGGGGAAGGCTTGGCTAGAGTAGGCCATTCAGTGAAGATGGGGTTATGGCAGTGGAAGAAGTCAGAGATGACAGGTTTATCATCAGGCTACTCGGAGGCATTTTATGGCAATGTTCTTCTTGAAAATGGGAAAGGCTTTTCTCTGCAGATGGCTTACTGCTTACTGTGTCTGCATTCTCCATTTTTAAATGAATTTTGGTCTTATTGCAGTTAGTCTGACAGCTCCTCCTCCTTTTCTGACAAGCTGCTCTTGTCTGTCATCTTAGCACCTCAGCTGCTTCTGTATAACAGGTCTGTTTCCTTCCATGCTTGCAGAAATCCAGAAAATTTGACTCTCCCATCTTGCATTGAGAAAACCTTCTCTGAAGCAGTGCTGCATTGAATGGATAACCTTGTGAACAGCTTTTTCACTCTGTTTGCTGGTAGCCTGTGTTTCCAGCCACAGTTATAGCTGGGAGGTGTGAGACCGAATTTTAGACTGCTGTGATCCTCTAGTTGTATGCTGCAGAGATGCAAAGTCCCCCTTCCCACACTTAGACCAGATACTTGCAACATTCCTGCTCTTCTAGTACCCAGGTTGTTGGAAACACTGGCTGCTTCTGCAAGTTCAAAGGCAGTATACACATCTGATGCCAAGCAATCTTACAATCTCAAACAATCTGCTGCTTGTTCAAATTTTCTCCAGTATTGCTCTCCCCAGGTTCTGGGACATCATATCTGCTCTGAGGGGCCAGTTAAGAAGTTCACATTTCTTGTCAGAGCACTATCATTGCTCACCAGCATGTGTTCTCAGCATCTGGTATCTAGGCTTCCTAGAGGGATGAACCATAGAAGCTGTCTCAGAAGAAGCTAGTGTGCAGCTTGTGCTTTTTAAAGGATATTTTTAGTGCATACAGAAGCAGTATGTCTAGCCTCTCCTCTCTCCCATAGAGAGCATAGGTGTAAAATAGTGGGTTGCTTCACCTGGAGCTTCACTGTGGAGACCTGAGCTCCAGGAAGAAGAGGCTTTGTCAGCCTTCAGAGAAATGCCACCACCTGAGCTGAGCATCAATGCACAGGACAATGATGCTATGTGAAAAAGCCAATGCCAGCTGAGCATCAATGCACAGGACAATGATGCTGTGTGAAAAAGCCAATGCCAGCCTCCGTGGCTGGTCACCTGCTGGAGACTGTGAGCTCTAGCATAGCCCTTGGTGTTGGAGGTAATGAGAAATGCTGGTTTCCTTTTCCCTCTAATCTGTGCTGCTTGAGGAGCTGTCTTTAGCGCTCGCTGCTTTTCTCCCTTGTGACAGCAGCACCCTTATCCAGGGTTACCATAGTCCCTTTGTGAGAAGACTGGTTTAAATGAGAGCAGAGAGGAGAGGTCCTTGGAAAAAGTCTGGATGCCATCTGGGAGTATCTGCTCTGCTGATGGCAACATATAGTTGAACACTGAAAGGAAGCAGGCACAGCCTTGCCTGAGAGAATGGCCCTTGCTCAAATATTTTATTAGCTGAATTAAGGTTGTGTTTTAATTATTTATTAGAGCCCATCCTTTACCAAATGCAAGCAAGAACTTTCACAGAGGTTGGACCATTGACCTGACCTTGCCCTTGTGGTCAGAAGGAGCAAATTTAGGCTAGTCCAAGGCATTCTCTCTTGCCTGCCTTTGAACACTTAATTATTCCATAAAAATTACAGATGTTTAATCCGTGAGGGACCTCCCATGATATCTGCTTTTAAAGTGAGCCAGGAACCAGCTGGGGTACAGGCCAGAGGTTTATTTGGACCAATAAAGGTACATCACTTAGCAATGCAAGCATTGAGAGTGCAGCAAACCACAAGGGCAGGATTTTTCTTTGACATAAACGACTGTAATTAGTAGCCACTCTAGCAGTGATCCTGTCTGTAACTCACCTAAATGAGACTAGCACAAGAAGATAATTTTTGTCTAAACAGGCAAAGTTTCATCTTGGGCCAGTTGAGTATCATGGTGTAGTGACAGAGCAACTAGCTAAGCTGCCATGAAGACTTGTTTGACACAAAATCCTCCAACTCCTCTTAGCCTCTTGCTGGGAAGAGGGAGATAAATGCTATCGAGTCTATGTCACCACACAGGGCAAATTCTGCTGGTAATATAAGTCTTAACTCACACACTTATGAAAATCTCATACTCAGAGCTGTCAGATTCTGAAAGACTGTAGGATGAGAACAAGGGTGGGTTGTCGTTGGGGTTTTTTTTAAATTTGTACATATTCATAACAACTGTGTCCTCTTACTTGAGTCTAGAATTATAATTTGGCTAAAAGGACAGAGTTTTTTGGCTGTTGAAAAACTTTGAAATGACTCCTCTGTGTGAGGTACACACTGAGACTTACATTACTTGGTGAACATGTTTAAGTGATGCCTATAGATGTGTGTATTTCCTAAGTATAGTATGGCTTCTATGGCTCAGCACTGCAGAACCTGCTGTTCTTTTCTGAGGCTTGCTTGGTCAAAGCACTTCAGCAGCTGCAAACATTGTTAGGATGCTTGTTCTAATTGTTCTCAATGAGGTTAAACAGCTAACAGAGCTTTTGCAGATTTAAGGTATACTTTGAGCTGCCTTGATCTTCATGTGTTGTCCACCAGGGGCTGCCTGTTTTGCATGTTGAAAGCAAGGCATGTATTTGAGAGTCTAAGCAAGAGCTCGTGGGTGGAATTTTCTGCTAGCTTAACACTGGGCTGACTTTCTCCCTGTCTGTGTCAACTGATGCCTGTACAAGGAGCATCCATGCTGACTTCTTCTGAAAATCATGCTCTGGGGATCTGATACACAGCTTTACTTCTGAAAATGTTGACCTTGGTCTGTGAAAATTCAGCAAAGAGACATGACGTCCAAAGTGTCCAAGAAGGACAGGTGCCTGTGGTGTCTCCTACAGATACATCAGTACAGCAGTAGTGAGGGTTTTTTTTCCTACAACTGTTCAAATTTCCAGAGGAGTGGCTCATCAGTAGGGAAGAGAAGAGCAGCCGGGCTGAAATATCTGTCTTGGGCATCTCTTATGCCTTCCAGAGGTTTCTTCTGAGAACATTGAACAACCTTTTAAGAAGTTGCTGGTCTGAGGAAAAATGATGTAGGGAAACCTGGTGAGTTTTCCTATTGCATTCTAGTAAGGACAATAAGAGCATGATCTGCATTATTCTTAGAAAGAGAGAGCAAAAGTTGAGGGTGTGATTCGTACCTGGAGTCGTAAAACTCTTTATCATGCAGTTAGGTTGAAGCACTTGAGCAACTTCAGTAGTGAAACTATGCCTTTGCACTTCTGTGGATCACAGCCAGAGTGATTGCGCCTTGCAGAACTGAGATGGGAGTGAACTGCAGCTCAGAATTAAATTAAGGAGACCACCCTGTCACTTTGCTCTGGGCAACCTGTAGTCCTGTAATCTTTTTTTAGGTATTGGCTTCTCCCTTGGGTTTCCTGCCCTCCATGGTGATGGGAAGATGTGGGTGAGCACTGTCAGTTTCAGAGTCGTGGTTAAGTGTCATATACCCTCCATCTGAGCTGTTGCTTTATTGTTTTCCCTTAGGCTGAGAAAGAGGACTGAATTTTTAGTCAATGTTGCTTGGTAGCCAGTGGGAAGCGTAACTCTCAGCAGTGGTGATGCAGAAAAACATTTTGCACATGCGTGTACATACACCTTATACATCTCTTGTGTGCAGAACTAACCTTACAGGACCTGACAATGGTCCTTGCAAGACCTTTCCTCTGGGTGGTCTCCGGTCTCTTCTGTGATGTGTAGGAACTTTCTTTCTGGTAATCTTGCATTCAGTTTACTCTCATCACTGAATTGCTGGAGTGTTTTTCATGTAATACACTAGAGACAGTCCCAGTCTCACCGCTTTGTGGTAACTTCTTGGTCTGCTGTGAAGCAACAACATTGAGGTAGCCATTAAATCTTTTCCAGCAGCATGGAACTTGCTGTTCTGACTCTTGGGGAGGTCGTAATCTCAGGTTTGACACCATCCTACCATCAGGACAACGTGTTTTGTCCCTGGGAATAGGCATGGCCAGAAAAGCATACTAGGTGGATGGAGTCAGAGCTGTGCAGACTTAAGTCAAGCCCTGGTTCAGGGAAGATTTTTCCATGTGCTGCTGATGTCCATAAGGACTCAAACATATACTTGCTTACACAGAGATGCTTTCCTGAAGCAGAGTTGTCACTCTTTTCTACAGGTATCACAGGATGCCCTCCCTTATTCTGCTTCATGTATCTGGTACTAGAATGATAATTTCCTGATAAATGAAGGCACTTAATCAGTCCTCTTCCCCTTGGAAGAAGGACTTTTGGGGATATTGTTATATCATTTAAAATAATATTTTGGAATTTAAGTTTACATTGCTTTATTTTTCACTTGAGGTGACTGTATATAAATATTTTCTTCTATTTTATCATTGCTGATAAAGTAAGCCTACAGTATACAGACAAATAATTTGCCTTTGATGTATTGAAACTGTGAGATATAAAGTAGACTTCTCTCTTGTGTCCATGTTCCTGACTATAACTCTGTTCCTCTGTGTTTTTATAAGTTGGAATAAATGTTGCTTACGGGCAACAAAGAGCCTGCAAGCTTCCCAATAATTTTTGTCATTGAACTCAAGCAACCCTGTTGAAGGATCTCACATATGTATAATGATATATGTATATGTACAAACTTTAGAAAGAAATAAACCAAATGTATTTCACGTTCTGCAGCTGAATGTTTTTTATTTGAACCCTGACAGTTGCTCCTGCAAGTAAGAACAAAAAAGTGGCCTTACAGTGGCTGACTGTCCTGTTTCTGACTCCTGGCAGTCAGTAGTTTCAAGGTTTCCTGAGCTGAGGCATATGTGTACTTTGTGCATTGCAGTCTGGATCTGACCTGCAGTTGGGGTAACCAATGGAGCCAGTGGCAATTTGTGCACATTAGTGCTGTGTGAGGGCAGCTGGAGCACATTTCTCTCTCTTCTGCACCTGTACAAGAGGTGGCATCCCTTCCAGCTTTGTAGCCAGCTTGCTGTGAAGAGGCAGCAGGAGAATTGACTGATTTAAAATGGGTTTACCAGCATGTGGATTAAAGGAGTGAAGCTGCAGTAAACAGCTGTTCAGAAATGATTGGGAGTTGATCTCAGCATTTATATGAGGAGGTCATTGTTGAGTTTGGGAATTGCTGCTGACGTGGCACATGGGAAGAAAGGGCCCCTGAAAGGCTGAAGAGTCAGACACTAAAAAAAAAAAGATGGAGTGTAAAAAGGCAGAGGTGGGAGTGGTGAAGAAACTATGCCTATCCAAAGTAAGGAGAAACACTCTGTACAACACACAGCAAACAGTGTTATCCTTGCAGTTCTTGGGTTGGACATAACTCAACACGGGAAGTTAGTCTGCTGTGTGGAGAGGGGGTCACAGGGCACATGGAGAGGATGTGTCCAACACAGGTGGGGCATGCCCAAGATTTACAACAGAGGATGTGTCCAACACAGGTGGGGCATGCCCAAAATTTATGACAGGGCTGGAAGCTTGTACTTGAAACAATAGTAAGGAAGACATTTCTTACCAAGATTTCTGTGAATGTTTTACTATCTTGAGGTGACTGTTTCTTTATATTTTTCCTCAGGATGTTGCCTTTAGATGAATCGTAAGACTTTCACACTTGAGATAGCTCTGTTTGTTTGTTTGTTTGTTTGTTTGTTTGATTGATTTTTACACGCTATGCCTTGAGGTATCAGATTTTTCACTGTTGTACCATCCTGGCTACTTCAAAGCCCTTGGGATTTTTTATTCCAATGCAGGCTTCTGGATTAGTATGTTTTTAATGAAAAGACTAAACAAAGTGGTGGTAAGGATGGGTGGGAGTATTTTACAAAGATGTATTAAATGCCTCCTCTAAGCCCAAATGAATGTTTGAACTGTGTCTGAATGTTAATGTCAGTACTGCTCACCACATCTTTTCTTATTGTTTCTTCCTAGCTGACAGAATCAACGCTGAGCATTTGCTGGTGGTTTTTCTACCTGGAATCATTAGTCACATCACGTTTCTCACAATGCAGTGAGCTAGAACAAAATGACAGAACAGGTGCAAACTGAAAGACAAATGCATTTATATTCTCTTTATTGTCCGTTTTCAGTTCAAGTTTCCAAGTACAGAATATAATTATCAAGGAAGACTGAAAAGGCTAGTTTGTGTATGCAGGAGAAACCTCCAGAGTCTACAGCTGCTACACATTTTTTTTGGTATTTATGAATAATGTAGCATGAGAATGAGATTTAGTCCAAAGTAATGCACAGTTTGGTCTGAAATTGTCATGATTATCTCTAGATTGGAAATAAGAACAAAGTTCCTACCCATCAGAGCACTGATGTACTGCAGTACTTGCAGGGCAAAAATACCCAGTGGCTTTTAAGATAGAGCTGGAACAGAAATCACGTGGTGATAACCCAGGTTTTCATTTTTCACGTCATTGCACATTGCATCGGTTTCTTTCCATGTTTGCTACTAAATTGATATTTCTCAAATGATGTTTAGCCGTATGGTTTGGTTGGTTTAGCCAAATGATAGTTAGGCACTATGCTAGCTATTTCTCCTAGAAAAAGGGCCGTCCTAGAAAACATGAATTACTGCAAATGAGCTATCTACCTTGCCAGATTTTCTGTGTCGTGGTCACATTCTTTTTAGGACATTTTTTCTGGTCCCATTCCACAGCTAGCTTTTGGATGGATCAGCACATAAATTATACAGGTTTTTGTTTCGATGGCTTGCTGCTCACAATAAGATGCAAAGTCTAGGAGCTAAACTGGGATCAGATGAAGGAATCACGACTAAGTAGTATCTTTTGCCTTGGAGAATGTGGAGCTAATATGTTGCTGTTATGAACTGGAAGTTTGTGGGGGTGATTTTGTCCCCACTTCCCAGGCAGGGTGTAACAAAAGGCCAAGTTTGCCCAAAAACAACCTTGGGAAGTTCAGGCTTTGGGACTGGTTTTGTTGAATTTGGCCAGTGAGGATGAATTAACAAGGGGTGTGTCTTAGGGAGGAACCTGGTCAGAGAAGGGGAGGCATAAGAGTGGCAAAAATGTTGTTCCAGGAAATAGAAACAGTAGTGGATAAAGAAAAAAAATCAGATAAAGAACAAAAGAAGAGGGAACCTTCTGAAAGGAGGAGTGCAGGTGCCTACAGATGCATTGCTGATATGCAGCCTGATCTGCCAGGAATTCCCTTCAGAAGGACTGTGTCTGAAAAACTTGATGTGACAAGGGTAGGCTTCAGAGGGGTAGATTTCCACTGTGGTCATATGTCATATGAAGAGGTAAAATGATGGTTTTGTAAGTTCATAATTGATGTATGTGATTCATAAGATCTAAGAGTGTGAAATAAGCACTTTTTGTAATTGTGTGTAATAGGGTGGAAAATAGTATAATTGCAGATTAGTAGTAGTGGTGTGTTTGTTTGATGATCGGGATATTGATTACTTAATAGATTGACCAGTTCCTTAGGAGTGTGTTACTTAATCACTAAAGCCTGTAATTTTGTTATAGCACTTACATCTTGACCTTGCAATCTAAACAGAGGGGGGTTCTTTCTTTATTTGGTTTCCCTTTCATTGAGGGAAAGAACATTTCCTACCTAGTCTTAACTTGCTTCAGCCACAACACACTGACCATTGCAAGGACGCTTGTAGCAATGTTTGTAAATATCTGAATTATGCCAATGACCACAAACCATAAGCTAAATAAGATGAGTCTCAACAATGCAAACAGCATAGAAATGACATATTGGGAAAGAGAGGTCTATGAGTTAAAATCTCAGGGAAAGATTTTCATAGTGTACAAGCACAATTTCCTCAGCTAACATTGCTTGTTTGCATGTGTAAAGGTACTGAAGGGCCTTTATCTTTATGATGCACAGCCTTAAATGTAGGGGAAATGTACAGATGGTAGAAGAGAGCAGAAAATCTGTGGAAGAGAGCAGAATATAGCATCAAAGACTGAAAACTCTGTGGATTGCAAGGAGGGTTTGCCGGAAGGGAGAGGACTTGTTTGAAAGCCAGACGTAAGACAAAAACTGAACAAGACTATAAAGAAAAAGCATATGGGAGGCAACTGAACAGTACACAGATTCATTTACACTTGTAAAAGACAATCCATTAATAGGAAAGGACTAGCTGCTTGTGAAGGCTGCCTTACCACTCCCTTTACCAGAGTGCTCTTGGGTGAAAAGTTCTTATTCCCCCATTGCTGGCAGAGGCATTTTGAATACTGCCAGGGCTTGCTATAGTGTCAGGAAAGCATGCTCTGCACTGGCCTTTGGGGTAATTCTCAGTTAGCCAAGGTAGATATTCCTTCCTGCACCTGGTAGCTTGGAAGACAGCAGCATCCCTGGAGCTGCACACTGTCTGCTGGATGGTACGTATCTTTGCAGAAAGGACAGAAAGAAAACCCAAAACACTGCTGAAACTTGTTTTCTACCATCAGTATACTAAGATTGTTCAAAATAAGTGTTCAAGGGGGTGGATATGGTTTGCTTTCTTCCTCTCCAAGAAAATGTTTTTTGTTCAGCCAGAAATCATTTTTCTGCTCTACCTCCCTCAGAAGTGCAGTGTAGATACGGCCCATCAATTCTTTGGAAGGTGAATATTTTTAGTGAGCTTGGGCAATCCTCTCCTCTGTCCAAATGTCCAGTGTAAAAAAAAGTACACTTCTTCTTTTCAGGGTAGTTCCAGTCAGGACTTGTAAACCAAGATGTGTGTTGCTGAACAGTTGCTGTGAGTGTAGTCTTCGGCACAGACATGTGCCCTGTCATTTGAGAAGAAATTATTTTGATTGATGAAGTGGCAGGGATGCTGCTGTGAGGGTGGGTGTGGAAAATGCTCCTGTCCAGTCAGAAGGGCATGTGATACTCAGCTCTTGGTGTGCTCTGCTTCCTGTTCCATCCCATGCTGGGCTGACCTGTGCTGACTACCCTGTAACTACAAGTACTGAGACAGGGCTGGATGGAGCCAGTGCCATCACCAGCATAATTACCTGAGTACTAAAGACATTAGAGATGCTCACCTTGGCAGAAATTTGCAGTGATCTGTGCCTGGGACAGGAATATTTTCCAGTCTAGCTGCTGGGACAGTTTTGTGGGGGCCTTGCAGCCAGCCAGTGATAGCAGGAATGGTGTAAAACCCGAGTCCTGTTACCACAGCCGTACCCACGCTGCGTTTCTCAGGCAACTGCAGTGTGGGCGGCAGTCAGAGGTTGTAATTGTTTGATGGGGGGAAAAAAGCCCATATACATACACACACAGAATTAAAAAATGAAGCGCTCTTTCCTTTTAGCTGCAATTTCTGACTGCACTTTGGACAAATTGTCAGAATCTGCATTCCCACTGGCAGGGAGCCAGGCACACTGATTAAACTGTGTGTGGGCAAAATGTAGGCAGATGATGGTGACTTGGTACATTGACTTACAGAGCTGTGTTTTCCTTTTCTGCTGCTTTCTTTCTCTCTCCAAACTCTTTTCAGGCTAGTTTTTTGGCCATCCTTCTTCACTAGATCCTTTTTGAGGTCTGAAAATCCAACTTTGAGAACTGAGAAGAGGCGTGAAGCCACAGAGGTAGCTGCTCAAGGTACATAATAATCCCCAGGTGCTTGTTCCCTTGCAGGTGAGTACATATCCCTCTGAATGCCGTGAAGGTGGTTGAGAGACCAAAATGTTGGGCTTTGGCA